GCAGGTTTTGTCCCAAATGAGTTAGCACCAGAATTTCAGTTTCCAGAAATGTTCGGACCTTGAAATTGTCATAAGGGACTGTTGATGAGCATAATTAAGGTCCAAGACGTTCATGCTGCCAAAGGAACATCAAATCCAATAACCACAGCCTCTTAGATAAAATGCCACACAATTCCGTCCTAGGAAGGACTTTGTATTTTTAGATGCCACTTGCTGAAATATCTGGAATCTCTATCAAGAAGAAACAATCAACCTCCACCTGTTGTTTTAGAATGTGTACTTAATGATGTTAAATTTTAATTTTTATTTGAATAAGTAATATACTGGTAGAAACTTTAAAAAATCTATGCTCTAACAGAGCAAATCTTGTCATGTTTTCCTTCAGACCTTACATGTGCATGTAATTTACTCAATGGAGACACTAGTCTTTCGTCTTTTTAAATTTAAAATTATAACATGTGTTTTTCTATGCATTTTACTTTCTTTATAACTGTCATTTTGAAGAATCTTCTTTGAAGTAAAATTGAACACAGTATTCCACTGCTACCTTGGAAGGAGGAAGAAAAAACACGGAGAACACAATGGAAACTATTGGTAGCTATCCTGCCACATGGGTTAAGCACTGCTGTTAATAGTATGCAAAATAATTGTCAAGATCTTAATCAGGTACACTTCTGCCATGGTGAGTACAGTTTTATAAAATAAAATAATTGCATCAAAATGAATACCATTTAGGTTATGCATTTATTTTAGCAAGTGACTCAGACCTAAACCAAGTCACTTAACCTCACAAGAACTTAATTTCCACCTCTGTAAAATCAGAAATTTTATGAAGTTTCTAAGCCACTGATTACTTTTTTTTTTTAACATCTTTATTGGAGTATAATTGCTTTACAATGGTGTGTCAGTTTCTGCTTTATAACAAAGTGAATCAGTTATACATATACATATGTCTCCAATATCTCTTCCCTCTTGCATCTCCCTCCCACCCTCCCTATTGATTACTTGTTAAGCAATGAAAAAGTTTTGTTATATAGATAGTATTCTGGTGACAATTAACATTGTCAGCTTGAAGAAATATAGTATCCTTAGGATTTTTTGATTATATTATTATTTGTAACTTTTTAAAAATAATAATTTCCGGTGATTGAATTTCTGTTAGAGCTAAGCTGGTAGGTTTGTATTTTGGAGTTTTGAGCCCATGTTAATTTGTCCATATACTTTCCGAGTGTTTTTGCTACTGTCAGCTACAGAACTGATAGTGACAGAAGAGATAGAACAAAATGATGGTTGAGAGGAAGTGGAGTGAGCTGAGATTAACTCAGTTCAACAAGAAAGGTAGTGTCACGCTCTCAAAATGTTAAAGTATCTTTCTTTTTTTTTGGTCAACAAATATGACATCTTTGGACTTATGTTGAAATTAAAAAGAAATTCAACCATGGAATCATACAGAGTGACATCTGTAGGGACATATGAATGACATTGTTCATAAAAAGGGAAGGAGAATTTTACAAGCTAGAATTTATGAACTACATTCGTGTGAAATTAATAGAGTGATATACCTGTTAAATGCCTGAATTTCTAACGTAGCTTGGAAAAGTCTTGCCTATTTACATTTTCCCCTTTGATTTTATTTCTTGTTCAGAGCTATGCTTTAACTGTGTTCCACTCATTGTCACTGGAGAAAGACCATTTGTTCCATTCTAGAAGGAGCTTTGATTTTCCTCTAGTGTGAGATGCTTTGCAACTTAATCCACTTGGACTTAAGAGAAAGGTCCACTCTAGAGCATATCATCACCATTCTTGCCCCCACAGTTTTCCACGTTGATGGTGGCCACCCTCCTAATGATGGAGGCCCTCCACCTTCCTCCTCACATTTTCGCTGCACAGGGAAAATAGAGGAGACTCCAGTGTTGAAATGAAAGAACAGTGTATATAATGCCAAGGACAAGCAGGGAGAGAGCGAGCTGGGAGAATTTTCCAGAAATTTCTGCTCTTATAGGTGTATTTATTTCTCAACAGATATTCATGGAACTTTCATTTTTCTGGTGTAGTGCTAGACTCTGAAATTAAAGGAGTAAAGAAAATTTTGCCCTCAGGGAGCTTAGAGTCCACTCTAAAAGAGAAAAGCATGAAATAGACAAAATAAACTGAGAAACGTGTACATAGAAAAACAAATAAATAAATGGATACAATAGATGATTAGATAAATAGACAAAAAGTAAGTATAATTATGATGTGTGCTATGAAGAAAGTGTGCGGAGAGAGAGGGAGGGTCTGCCTGAAGGAGGAACATCAAAGCTGAGATGAGAGCCGAGGTCTGGTTGCTCATGGGCTTCCCAGGGCAGGGGGGTGAGTCCTCCTCCTTTTTGAACTCTGACCCAGGAAGTACTCTGCTTTAGGAATCAGATTAACTTTCTCAGCACTCACCAGGTTCTCTCTGGGAAATTTCCTGAGCAAAACTTATTGAGCACAGTTGCCCAAATATTATTCCTGCCAAAGTCCTGCCTTCATCGCTCTTAAGTGCTGACTACAGAGCTATTTGTTCTGGTTTCTGAGGAGTGAAAAGAGTTGCCTAATTTCAGAAGAATAAAATGAGACTGAAACTCTGGGTCCTTGGCTGTATCTTACTCTGCTAATTTTTTTCCACTGGAAGATTCTCTGGCAGAAAGAATTCATTGTCTTAGACAAAGGTTAGTGGGGATTGAGTTGGGAGGGACTCCTAAAGAGGTAGTTATTTGAAGTTTGGTTCTAGTGGTTTGGACATCACTTGTTTCTGTGTATATGTTAATAAAATTTCTTAGAAAAACACTTGAATATCAAAAGATTTGTAAATTAAGATTTGTAAATTAAGACCATTCTGGTTTCTCAGTTACTAATGAAACAAAGGAAAAAGCTTTGGACTGGTTTTGGGGGGAGACCCGAGTTATTGTACCCATTCTGCCCTTGAGTACCCTTGAAATCTTGTATGAATCATGTGCCTGCCTTGGATAAGAGAATTCCAAATTCATATACAAAATGAAGCTGGTAGACCAGATAACTTCCAAGAAATTTTACAACCAGATAACTTCCAAGATGCTTTACAGCTTTCACATTCTAAGATTCTGATGAATGTCTTGAAAAATTGTAAAAGGAACTTAGGATGATTGGAGCTCAAAGTTGTCTACGGGGCTTCCCTGGTGGCGCAGTGGTTGGGAGTCCGCCTGCCGGTGCAGGGGATGCGGGTTCGTGCTCCGGTCCAGGAGGATCCCACATGCCGCGGAGCGCTGGGCCCCGTGAGCCGCGGAGCGCTGGGCCCGTGAGCCGTGGCAGCGGCCGCGGAGCCTGCGCGTCTGGAGCCTGTGCTCCGCAATGGGAGAGGCCGCAACAGTGAGAGGCTCGCGTACCGCAAAAAACAAACAAACAAACAAACAAACAAAAAGTTGTCTACGGAAGCCATTAGAAAGCCCACTATTTCCATTCATAGTTTCATCCTGCGCTTCAGTTTGAAGTGCCCTGCAAGTATTACCCATCACACACTCACGTTGTTTCACATGTTTCTCTTCACTGCTGCCCTTTGCAATGGACAGAAATACTTCTAGATTTGAAATTTCAACTGGAAAGCCCAGAGGATAAGCAATAGAAATTGCTTTAATGCAATAAAAAAGGATTCAAGAAACTACAAAGTTTTCATTTTATAAAGAGCAGCAGACTTTGTAACGTAAAGAATGAAGACTGATAATGGGAACAACCGGGCAAATTTTTATGTTATCTGCAAGATCGGGATTTCTTCTGAAAATTCGAGAGCAGAGGCTTCGTCCTTGAAGCTGAGCAATATTCCCCCAAAGCCTTTGTTTGCCCTAATATTCCATAATGTTATGCTTTTACAGTCAGTAAGCCATTAGTAATCAAGGGATGTATAATTTATTAATTACACTCCACATTAATATTTCATCGTTTTGGTTGCTGAGCAGATTTCTAAATCTACTTTTTAATTACATTTTAAAGATATAAATCTTCCAGGCAACCATTAGAAAAGTAATTTTTCTGCGTATTATGATGCCAATTACTTCAAAGCAGCTGGTTGTGAATTCTTGTGATGATAGTTGGTAAAGTGGTGCCTAGGTACTCTTCACTCATTTGAAAGCTAATTGAATAGTAGTGAGAAGGGAGTGTTATAAAGAATGTACAAAGACACAAAATAGCCAGGGGGGAGAAAAAGAAACAACGTCTATCAGAGAGTCATCCACAGCCACGGCGGCCCTCTTACCTAGGCAACACCAGTCAATGGTGAACATTTCCTGAGTTCTAAGATCTTGGGCTTTGGGTTTGATATTTACAGTTCACTGAAGTAAGCAGCGCTTTTCTGTTATGACTCTGGTCCGAATAATGGCATGTTTAAGGCCATAAACAGAACTTCCTTACTTTTTTCTCCCAATAGTCATGTCAGATGCCAGGGATAATGATTTTGTCTTTCTTTTTCCTTGAATTCCTGATGAGCTGCTTTGCTTTGGCTGACATTTGAAAAACTCAGTTCCCCATGTTTTGAAAACTTTAGTGCCAGTTCCCTTAGATTTCTTTTGCCTGTCTGGCATTTTATGTGTTCTTAATTCTATTTTATTACCTCTAATATATAATTAGAGGTAAAAAAATAGAATTATATAATTCTATTTTATAATAGAATTATATAATTCTATTTTATAATAGAATTATAAAATAATTCTTTTAATTACCTTTATGCTGGGACAATTTTTGAAAATGAGTTCTAAATTTTTTCATATACTCAAGCTTTGGTGGTGACGACAGTGGTTTCGGCAGAAGGTAGATTGAGTCACTGAATTATACTTGGGGAAAATAACTGCTTATTTCTAAAACAACATTATTTCTGAAAACTTTGCCTTTCTATATATTCAAAAATATTTGTTGAATAAACCACTGAATAAATGTGGATGCACTTTTTACTCACAGAATGAGAAGTCTTTGTAAATTTTCTTTCTGCCCCTGCATGGGTTTGCCACTGTTCCTTTACTGGGTCTGAGATTTCCACCATGAAAATTCACTTCTTAGGTTGGACAAAACATGAGAGTTATTGCTTTGAAAAGACTATTGCTAAAATGCTTATGTGTCAGCTGGGAGAAGCAGGTATGTACCCGCACTGTTCTCTGAGCTCATTTGCATGCCCTAATTATGTAGTTTAGCTCCTGTAGCCTTCTGAACTTCTGTTCTTATGGCAATTTAAAAAATTCTCTTTATTTATTAGGTGGCTTAATTATTTTCTTCATTTAAAAATAAGAAATACATCACACATACGAGAATGCATGAAACTTAAATATACTGCCAATAATTTTTCAAATGTTCTCCTTCCCTTACTGGTTTGTAAACTTCATGAGATCAAGGACCATCTCATGTTCACTGCTGGATCCCTGGGGTTTGATACAGTGCCTGGTACGTAGTAGGACTTCCAAAAATATTTGTTAAATATACCACTGAATAAATGGGGATGTACATTTTACTCACAGAATGAAAAGTCTTTGGAAATTTTCTTCTAAAGGAGAATTTGGAGGGAAGACAGGACCCATTTACCTCTCAAGAAATATATAAAGAAATTTGAAAGTGAGAATGACATTTCTTTATCCTCCTACAAAGTTTAATAACTGATGAGTTTTTGTTTGTTTTTGTTTTAGGTCTTATTTTCTTATCAGAAGAATAGACGGACCTGAGTTATGATGTAAACTTCTATCTTTTTTTTTCTGGCTTCCTATTTAGGTAAGAAAAGTTTTGTTGAAACTGGAAATTGTAACTCCTTTCCAAGTCTGGAATGCATGATATTCCAAGTGCCCCAGAGAGTTTTTCCCTTCTACAAGACAATTTTTGTTTTTATTAACCCAAAAGGGATAGTCTAAAAATACCCTTAATAAGCTGAAGTATACTGTATACATTTGCCAACTTCTGCCTTTTAATGTGCGGGGGGAATTCATGGACAACGTGGTTTATTTAACAGTCTACAGGCCAACTGGTCAACAGCATTAGACCCATACACTGTGAAGCATCTCTCAGGGTTTAATATTTGAGATGACACATGAGTGATTGTGTTTAAAAGGATCTTTCCTCCTAACTGGTGTGGTGGACCACACGAAGTAGTCTTTTTGTTTTACATCTTTATTGGAGTATAATTGCTTTATATGGGTGTGTTATTTTCTGCTGTATAACAAAGTGAATCAGCTATACGTATACATATATCCCCATATCCCCTCCTTCTTGCGTCCCCCTCCCAACCTCCCTATCCCACCCCTCTAGGTGGTCACAAAGCACCGAGCTGATCTCCCTGTGCTATGTGGCTGCTTGCCACTAGCTGTCTATTTTACATTTGGTAGTGCATATATGTCCATGCCACTCTTTCACTTCATCCCAGCTTACCCATCCCCCTCCCTGTGTCCTCAAGTCCATTCTCTACATCTGTGTCTTTGTTCCTGCCCTGCCCCTATGTTCTTCAGAACCATTCTTTTTTTTTTTTAGATTCCATATATATGTGTTAGCATACAGTATTTGTTTTTCTCTTTCTGACTTACCTCACTCTGTATGACAGACTCTAGGTCCATCAATCTCACTACAAATAACTCAATTTTGTTTCTTTTTATGGCTGAGTAATATTCCATTGTATCTATGTGCCACATCTTCTTTATCCATTCATCTGTCAATGGACACTTAGGTTGCTTTCATGTCCTGGCTATTGTAAATAGAGCTGCAATGAACATTTTGGTACATGACTCTTTTTGAATTATGGTTTTCTCAGGGTATATGCCCTATAGTGGGATTGCTGGGTCGTATGGTAGTCCTATTTTTCATTTTTTAAGGAACCTCCATACAGTTCTCCACAGTGACTGTATCAATTTACATTCCCACCAACAGTGCAAGAGGGTTCCCTTTTCTCAACACCCTCTCCAGGATTTATTGTTTGTAGATATTTTGATGATGGCCATTCTGACTGGTGTGAGGTGATAACTCATTGTAGTTGTGATTTGCATTTCTCTAATGGTTAGTGATGTTGAGCATCCTTTCATGTGTTTGTTGGCAATCTGTATTTCTTCTTTGGAGAAATGTCTATTTAGGTCTTCTGCCCATTTTTGGATTGGGTTGTTTGTTTTTTTGATATTGAGCTGCATGAGCTTCTTGTAAATTTTGGAGATTAATCCTTTGTCAGTTGCTTCATTTGCAGATATCTTCTCCCATTCTGGGGGTTGCCTTTTCCTCTTGTTTATGGTTTTCTTTGCTGTGCAAAACCTTTTAATTTTCATTAGGTCCCATTTGTTTACTTTTGTTTTTATTTCCATTTCTCTGGGAGGTGAGTCAAAAAGAATCTTGCTGTGATTTATGTCATAGAGTGTTCTGCCTGTGTTTTCCTCTAAGAGTTTTATAGTGTCTGGCCTTACATTTACGTTTTTAATCCATTTTGAGTTTATTTTTGTGTTTGGGGTTAGGGAGTGTTCTAATTTCATTCTTTTACATGTACCTGTCCAGTTTTCCCAGCACCACTTATTGAAGAGGCTGTCTTTTCTCCATTGTAAATTCTTGCCTCCTTTATCAAAGATAAGGTGACTATATGGGCATGGGCTTATCTCTGGGCTTTCTATCCTGTTCCATTGATCTATATTTCTGTTTTTGTGCCAGCACCATACTGTCTTGATTACTGTAGCTTTGTAGTATAGTGTGAAGTGAGGGAGCCTGATTCCTCCAGCTCCCTTTTACTTTCTCAAGATTGCTTTGGCTATTCGGGGTCTTCTTTGTTTCCATACAAATTGTGAAATTTTTTGTTCTAGTTCTGTGAAAAATGCCATTGGTAGTTTGATAGGGATTGTATTGAATCTGCAGATTGCTTTGGGTAGTATAGTCATTTTCACAATGTTGATTCTTCCAATCCAAGAACACGGAATTGCTCTCCATCTGTTTGTATCATCTTTAGTTTCTTTCATCGGTGTCTTATAGTTTTCTGCATACAGGTCTTTTGTCTCCTTAGGTAGGTTTATTCCTAGGTATTTTATTCTTTTTATTGCAATGATAAATGGGAGTGTTTCCTTAATTTCTCTTTCAGATTTTTCATCATTAGCATATAAGAATGCAAGAGATTTCTGTGCATTAATTTTGTATCCTGCTACTTTACCAAATTCATTGATTAGCTCTAGTAGTTTCCTGGTAGCATCTTTAGGATTCTCTATGTATAGTATCATGTCATCTGCAAACAGTGACAGTTTTACATCTTCTTTTCTAATTTGGATTCCTTTAATTTCTTTTTCTTCTCTGATTTCTGTGGCTAAAACTTGCAAAAATATGTTAGATAATAGCGGTGAGAGTGGGCAACCTTGTCTTATTCCTGATCTTAGTGGAAGTGGTTTCAGTTTTTCACTATTGAGACCGATGTTGGCTGTGGGTTTGTTATATATGGCCTTTATTATGTTGAGGTAAGTTCCCTGTATGCCTACTTTCTGGAGGGTTTTTATCATAAGTGGGTGTTGAATTTTGTCAAAAGCTTTTTCTGCATCTATTGAGATTATCATATGGTTTTTATCCCTCAGTTTGTTAATATGGTGTATCACATTGATTGATTTGCATATATTGAACAATCCTTGCATTCCTGGGATAAACCCCACTTGATCCTGGTGTATGATCCTTTTAATGTGCTGTTGGATTCTGTTTGCTAGTATTTTGTTGAGGATTTTTGCATCTATGTTCAGCAGTGATATTGGCCTGTAGTTTTCTTTTTTTGTGACATGTTAGTCTGGTTTTGGTATCAGTGTGATGGTGGCCTCGTAGAATGAGTTTGGGAGTGTTCCTCCCTCTGCTATATTTTGGAAGAGTTTGGGAATAGATGTTAGCTCTTCTCTAAGTGTTTGATAGAATTATCCTGTGAAGTCACCTGGTCCTAGGCTTTTGTTTGTTGGAAGATTTTTAATCATAGTTTCAATTTCAGTGCTTGTGATAGTTCTGTTTGTATTTTCTATTTCTTCCTGGTTAAGTCTTGGAAGGTTGTGCTTTTCTAAGAATTTGTCCATTTCTTCCAGGTTGTCCATTTTATTGGCATAAAGCTGCTTATAGTAATCTCTCATCATCTTTGGATTTCTGCAGTGTCAGTTTTTACTTCTCCTTTTACATTTCTAATTCTATTGATTTGAGTCTTCTTTCTTTTCTTGTGGCTAATGGTTTATCAATTTTATTTATCTTCTCAAAGAACCAGCTTTTAGCTTTATTGATCTTTGCTATCATTTCCTTCATTTCTTTTTCATTTATTTCTGATCTGATCTTTAGGATTTCTTTCCTTCTGTTAACTTTGGGTTTTTTTTTGTTATTCTTTCTCTAACTGCTTTAGGTGTAAGGTTAGGTTGTTTATTTCAGGTGTTTCTTGTGTCTTGAGGTAGGATTGTATTGCTATAAACTTCCCTCTTAGAACTGCTTCTGCTGCATCCCATAGGTTTTGGGTCATCGTGTTTTCATTGTCATTTATTTCTAGGTATTTTTTGATTTCTTCTTTGATTTCTTCAGTGATCTCTTGGTTATTTAGTAGCGTATTGTTTAGCCACCATGTGTTTGTATTTTTTACAGATATTTTTCCTTTAATTGATATCTAGTCTCACAAGATTGTGGTCGGAAAAGATACTTGATACGATTTCAATTTTTTAAAATTTACTAAGGCTTTATTCGTGTCCCAAGATATGATCTATCCTGGAGAAAGTTCCATGAGCACTTGAGAAGAAAGTGTATTCTGTTTCTGGATGGAATGTCCTCTAAATATCAATTAAGTCCATCTTGTTTAATGTATCATTTGAAGCTTGTGTTACCTTATTTATTTTCATTTTGTATGATCTTTCCATTGGTGAAAGTGGGGTGTTAAAGTCCCCTAGTATGATTGCGTTACTGTCAATTTCCCCTTTTATGGCTGTTAGCATTTGCCCTATGTATTGAGGTGCTCCTATGTTGGGTGCATAAATATTTACAATTGTTATATCTTCTTCTTGGAGCAATCCCTTGATCATTATGTAGTGTCCTTCTTTGTCTCTTGTAACAGTCTTTATTTTAAAGTCTATTTTGTCTGATATGAGAATTGCTACTCCAGCTCTCTTTTGGTTTCCATTTGCATGGCATATCTTTTTCCATCCCCTCACTTTCAGTCTTTATGTACCCCTAGGTCTGAAGTGAGTCTCTTGTAGACAGCATATATACGGGTATTGTTTTTGTATCCATTCAGCCAGTCTATGTCTTTTGGTTGGAGCATTTAATCCATTTACATTTAAGGTAATTATCAATATGTATGTTCCTATTACCATTTTCTTAATTGTTTTGGGTTGGTTATTGTAGGTCTTTTCTTTCTCTTGTGTTTCCTGCCTAGAGAAGTTCCTTTAGCATTTGTTGTAAAGCTGGTTTGGTGTCTGAATTCTCTTAGCTTTTGTCTGTAAAGGTTTAAATTTCTCCGTCGAATCTGAATGAGATCCTTGCTGGGTAGAGTAATCTTGGTTGTAGGTTTTTCCCTTTCATCACTTTAAATATGTCCTGCTACACCCTTCTGGATTGCAGAGTTCCTGCTGAGAAATCAGCTGTTAACCTTATGGGGATTCCCTTGTATATTATTTGTTATTTTTCCCTTGCTGCTTTTAATATTTTTTCTTTGTATTTAATTTTTGATAGCTTGATTAATATATGTCATGGTGTGTTTCTCCTTAGATTTATTCTTTATGGGACTCTCTGCGCTTCCTGGACTTGACTATTTCCTTTTCCAT